TTCAGTTTCATCTTGACCTGCTAATTTGGAACTGGGAGGGTCCCACAAGAAGGGTCTCCCTGGGAGGAAGGAGAATAAGACGTGTCAAAATGGCAACCGCAAGCTTATAATATAAGACCCATCCTTTGCAATGTGTATCATAACACACACATCATTGGTGAATGCTTCAGATGTGTGCCATGCTATGATTCATACAAAACAAGGCATTCTCTGGCTATCAGGAATTTTTAAGAAGAGGCTGAACTGGACTGAACCCCTGAAGGAGCCACCCAATATCATGGAAGAAGCAAAAAACATTATTATTTTTTAAAGCCCTGCTGACTTTTCTTTTAACTGCTTGACAATGGCGGACAAGTTTTCTCTCCAGCCCCTGCATTCTCTTTTGCTCCTCCTGGAAGGTTAAAAATGGAAACAGTGCTTTTCTTTCTTTAAAGAAGCTGAGGCCCAAATAAGGTGATCCCCGAGTGCTAAAGATGCCAGGACTGACTGGGTTCCAACTTATCTCTTAGAAAGGTTGCCTGTGAAAGAAGAGTGGAGCCACCAGGGACACAATCAGAACTGTAGCCGACCACAGCGAGAAAGCTCTCCGAGAACTTTATCTTCCCTTGCTGAAGTGCCCATTTCTCTCCACGCAGCCTCCAACTGAAGGCTAGCCTTCACCTTCTCTCTCCTACACAGAAGCACCCAAAGCCACCTTTACTTCAAACTGCAAAGATGGAAGCCATCAAGAAGAAGATGCAGATGCTGAAACTGGACAAGGAGAATGCCATTGACCGAGCAGAACAGGCTGAGGCGGACAAGAAAGCAGCTGAAGACAAGTGCAAGCAGGTGAAAGGGTCTGTGTGTGATGTGAACGAGGGTTCATTGTTTGCCGGGGATTTGTGCATGCTTTTTGAATGTGCTAGGTGTTGCAAGAATTGTGTGTATTGGTTGTGGTACGATTGCTGGAATAAGTACTTGGTTTTCCTTATAGAGCTTTTCCATTTGGGTTGTGTAGTTTAATGCAAAGGAGGAGTCAGGGGTAACATGATAGCTGTTTTCCAATATCTCAGGGGCTGCCACAAAGAAGATGGGGGGGGGTCAACCTATTCTCCACCTCTAAGCAGAACAAGAAGCAATGGATGGGAATTAATCAAGGAGAGAAGCTACCTAGAACTAAGGAGAAATTTCCTGACAGTGGGAACAATTAATCAATGGAACAACTTGCCTCCAGAAGTTGTGAGTGCTCCATCACTGGAAGTTTTTAAGAAGAGGCTGGAAAACTATTTGTCTGAAATGGTATAGGGCTTCCTGCTTGAATAAGAGTTGGACCAGATTAGAAGAACTCCAAGGTCTCTTCCAACTCTGTCACTCTGTTATTTTTCAAAGCAGGGCTTGTTCAATTGTGTTATTTCCATGTTAGAGACCAAATCTGAGGGGACGCATTTTTCCCTTTGCAAGTGGGTCTTACTCTCAGAAAAATGTTGGGTGTGTGCTACACATTCCCAGGAAGTTTAAGGCAGAGATAAAGTCATCCCTCATGTTCATCCCTCGTTTTCAACACAATTCTTCTTGGAAGTTAGACAAACACTGTTACAATTTTTCATTTTTAGCTATAACGTATTTCCTCTACAACAGAGAATTGTTTTGAAACATCCCACTTACTCTACCTACCCTGCCCTCAATTTTGCTAAACAAACTATTTGAAAGGACTAAAGGGAAACTGAACAGCTGTCTCATATTTTCTGTGAGGATGTATGAGGTCATGGCTGATATGATGGAAGGAGGATTAAGAAGTGCTTATTGGTAACTTCTGTAACAAAGGGAGAGCACAGATTGCCCGCTGAGTTTACTGTTGATCTTTGGGGCCAGGATTCTGGCATGGCTGGTGGGGGCTGTGTTACTTTCTCTCTACAACGCAATTAAAATGTTGCTAGGATGAAGCTGCTGCTTCCTTTCCAACTCTTGATGGATGTTTCAACTGTTCCAGCTCTCAGCTCCGTGTAGCTACTTGAGCCAAATGAACTGCTATGAATTTACAGAACTAGACGTGGATTCAGACCCGATATATGTTTTCCTATTGAAATGGATACAGCTGGCCCCAATGGGTTCAGGCCAGGCAAACCACTCCTCACAAAATTATTCCTATGAAGGAGCATACAGATACAGGCTCCGCCGGGTAGGAGTTGAACATCTCTAAGTCCAAGAATGGGCTTAAGATGTTCTTCCATCTCTCATTTTCTGATTTTTGGCAATGCGGAAATTCAATCATTGCACAAACAGATAATGTCATTTGTTTTATTCTGGCTTGTGGCCATGATTTGTCACTTAGTGTGTGTCAAGACTTAAGATACAGAAGGATCTTGATGGACTTGAACACTGGGTGCTATCTAACAAAATGAAATTCAATGGTGCAAAAGTAAAGTTCTATATTTAGGCAGGAAAAACAAAATGCACAGGTACAGCATATTGCTCAATAGTAGTAATTGTGAGAGGGATCTTGGAGTCCTAGTGGGCAACCATTTAACTATGAGCCAGAAGTGTGCAGCAGCTACCAAAAAAGCCAACACAGTTCTAGGCTGCATCAACAGAGGGATAGAATCAAGATCACGTGAAGTGTTAATACCACTTTATAATGCCTTGGTAAGGCCACACTTGGAATACGGCATAGAGTTTTGGTCACCATGATGTAAAAAAGATACTGAGACTCTAGAAAGAGTGCAGAGAAGATAATTTTGAACAGTTCAGAGAATGAGTAATTCTCTCAATCACTATACCCAGTGCTGATTGAAGGGTATATGGTGCATTGACTGATGGCGCCACTGAAAATTTGCATTTTATAGAATGATCCTGAAGAAGGGGCATCCTAGGCCTACTTGTTCATAGCTTAACTTTGCAGATTCCAGGTCTTGATCCTCCTACTCTTGGGCCTCTCAGCCTGGGATCTCTCTTACTTTGCCTGTCTTCCTGCCATTGCTAATGTTATAGGAGATGAGCCGTAAAGAGTTGGGGTTCAGAAGGACAATAGCGGAGAGAACAAATGTGTGCACGTTAAGAGTCTCTGCAGATGTACAAGTCCCCGTATGACCTTGGACTTTGTGACTTGGCCATGAATTCATTCAATTTAACCTATCTCACAAAATTACTACCATGAGGAGAGTGTGGAGACCCACTTGCTCTATAAAGTTGCCTTGTATGCCTAGATAGTAAGTGGTCTACATATGGGGGGGGGGAGGAATCCATTTTTTTTACAATGCACGGGCATTAGACCAAAAAGACTTTTCAA